GTGTAGGTGTGTTGTGTTGATGTATCATTAACTGAATAAATGACCATTAAGATGCGAACCTCTTAGTCAAGGGATACTTGCGAATAATTAAGAACGCAAAGAGGATGGCAAAACGTAGACTTAAGCGTCGACACACGAATCGTGCATCATCAGTTTTAATTATAACACGTGATCTTCGGAATAAACTCGGCCGTAATTAAGCGGATTGTCGAGCACACGGCTGGTAAGTAACAAACAAAAAATTAACCCGTAAAAACAAAGTTTTTCACTATAAATCCTTTATATGCGTGGCATCGGTTTTATTTTATTATTCATTTCTGTTTTTCTTTAGTAAGAGTTTCATTTTTATCACATTGGTATTTTAAATTAAATATGAAAAAAAAAATCCTAAAAAGTGTAACATTTTGGCAAATTTTTTTTCACGAAAATAAATTGTCACGCACAACGAGTCTGTGTGCAAAATGTCAGCTCGATTGGATCACGGGAAGTGGGTTAAAAAACGGCCGAAAGATTTGCACGGTCGTAAGCGCGCAAGCATGCAAGTGAACTTAATATAAAGGATTTTAAAAAGTGCGCGTAGCTTTCGCCTACTCATCTCCCCCCCCCCTCCACTGTAGATACCTTGCGTGCTGTGCTGTGGTGCTGTGCACACTAAACGATGTTATTAATACGCAGAGGCACGTGGCTTGCTAAGAGGGGGGGGGGGGGTGTCTTCGCAACAGTGGGGGGCTCGGCTCGGGGAGCATCGTTCGGATTCCCGCGTGCGCCTGAGATGTGCGCCGCTCTCGAAATGCCTCGCGTTGCTAAAAGTTATCTCAACTCCCAAATCCGGCGGCCGTGAGTTTAAAATTAAACCATTTTTAAAACGCGGGTTTGCTCTTCTTACTCTCGATCTAAATCACGCAAGTGAATAGCGTAGGAATTCGTTTTCGCCTATTTTTTGTGCATATTTGCCTTAAGACACCTCTAACTGGCGTGTTTCTAATGATTCGTCAGTCGACGCGGCGTTGACTTGCAGGGGCGGAGTGCTTGGTTGGTGGACGCGAGTCGGGCTTGTGTGCTCTAAAGGCTTCGGGGTCTTGCGTCTATTGTAAGAAACGCTTTGGCTCGACAAATATGTGTGCGTCACCGATTTCGTCGTTAGCGAGATGGATAACACCGGGCAGGAGGAGGCCCCTCGGCTACGTGGAGGATTGAGTAGCAGTCTCTCTTGCAAATGTATGATTCACGATCGCTGTTGGAGGAATATCACGTCTTTACTCAGGATCTTAATATGTAATCGTTAATAGATCTTAATATACTTACACGCTCGTGGTACGTACATCGCATTGTGCATGTAAGAGTCAATCGTACCAAAATAAATCGTGGACAGTGTTTATATTTCCATACCGCAATGGTATGTTACTTTTCATTCACAACAACTTTGAAGCTTGCATTTGAAGCTAAACTTTAGCATTCAAATTATATATTTTTAGCTAGTGCTCCCAATTTAAATGGCATATCCACTAATATCTTAGGTTCTTGGATTATATCACATTGAGAAGAGGTTGTCCAGAAACCATGCATGGCACGTGCTTTGGAGCAATGCGTTTATAAAATGCTATTTCAATATGCCACCATTTCAGATTTCGCTTAATCTAAGTTTCAGTTTCAGTTTTCAGTTTCCATTTTCCTTTCAGGCTTTTTGATGCGTTGCAGACTCGGTTGAAGTTAATGTAACGCCGTGTCGTCGAGATCTTCAGTTGAGTTAAAATGCTTCTCTCTTTCGGGTTGTGGCCGCAGTGTCGCGGTTACCACGTGTCGCCAGTTCGATCGCCCAGGGGCGCAGTTGAATCAACGATGCAAGTTTCCCAAGTACACCTGCATCTCCGCAACGCAGTATATATATAAATGGTTACGCCACAGTTTAATCGATTGCCAGGTCATTTGTGGTGGGGAGAAGTTTCCAATACTTCTGGCTAGTGTGGAAGAGTAGGCCAAATACCCTACTGCAAGGTACACTGCACCTTTGCCTTTTCCTTCTTCCTCTAGTGGAGATTTAGGCACGAACTGTTGAGTTTGGATGAAATGTCTGATATTGCCATGGCAGTGCATAGTTCAGTGTGGTGGTAGTAAATTTGTAAGTGTAAAAAGGGCTTGAAAAATGTTGTATTAATGAAAAGTAACTTTGCAAATAACTGCTTGCAGGTGGTGGCAAACCATATATTAGAAAGGCTTTAAAGAGGTCTATGCAGCCAGAGTTCTGTGATTTTAACTTATTTAAAATTTGCGGAAAAATGTAAATGTAATGCTGATGAAAATTTTACAAACGACAAACCTGTCTTATTACCAAATGAGCAAAAGCAATGCTTTGAGAACCTTTATATAAATAGGGCCCTGTAACAACTGAACTTGGATTGCAGCTTTCCTCCTGCCAGATAAAATAATGCGCAATGTATTCATTACGTTTTATTTATATTTTACAGCCGTAGAATTCTGACAATCAGAAAACTATTATGTATGAGGGCACGTCAAAATATTTAGAGAACGAGACATTAATCCAAGGTTGGGTTTCATGGACCCGTCGTCTTTCTGTAATAAATATAGAATATACATTTTTTTTATGATGACTATATTTAAAATATATTTAAGTATGAGTGTTCATTTGTGTAAAAATCGCAAGCAAAACAACTTTCTGAATACACGCTCACATAATCGTACACACACAGCCGACGTGGAGCGGTTGGTTCGTGCGTTCTCTAAATCCCGGCGACCCAGGTTTAAGTTGCGTTGATTTTTGTTTAACCAGGTGTAAGAACTCAAGAAACCAGGTGTGAGAACTCAAGAGACCAGGATAGGTCTCATTTGCAAGAGTGACCTGTGGGATCAGTCTACCAGTAGTGGTTAATGATTGGTATGTATAATACCAATTGAGGAATTTTCTAATTCGTCAAATCCCACACACGACCGCCTACTCTTGCGAATGGCATCAGGGGGGATCTTTAACGTCCACTGTGAAGAAAAGGGCGCACGTGTTTAAGGTTGACACACCACCGCAGTATTGACCAGGGCGGCCACTGGATTCGAACCGTTAACTTCTGTAGCAAGCGGCGCGTGTGATAACGATTTGGATCACCACCAGGCAGTCGGAATCTGGTCTGGGTCTCTCTTCTCCACGGTTTGCTTGCATTGAACCAATGCTGCTGAAAGTGAGCACTCCCAGAAGGACTTCCAGTTGATATGAAGTGCGAAACTTTTATTTTGTGTGCGGAGTGACAGGCGTGTGAAGGAGATCGAGTGTCTACGTCGTCATTTTGGGTTTCCCTGAGGTCAACTCAGCCTAGTTTTGGTCTGTCAACATCCGCAATGAGGAGATGTAATTGCATTTACAAATTTGTGCCGGTCCTATTAGGTCATTCTTCAGCATTCCGGCCTTAATATGCGCTCATTAACATAATTTACTCCTATTCAGGCCACACGGGGGATCTGTATCTGTGTGTGTGTGTGAAGGATTGTATACTGACCAGAGAAACGAGATGCTTAAATTGGATTATACATTTCTCTTTCTCTCCGAGCTTTAGCTGATAGAAAATCCCACCCCTCCCCCATACACAAAAAAGCAACTCGAGAAGCTTCAAGTTACAACTCAATTGGCTTCTTTGTGCCTTCTGCATGTATTTGCAAAGAGCCGAAAATGGTTTGGGGCCCTCCAAAATATCCACCGACCCCTCTCCAGCGGCTCCCCCCCCCCCCCCCCCCCGTGCCGGGCCCGCTCTGTAATCTCACCCCACACAATGAACCTCATTGTTGCAGCCGGTAAAATTGTAGAAATGCCGATCGCAGGAAAACGTCGAAAAGACTGCGAATGAGAACCGACTGCTGGAGATGCGGAGCGGCACCCAGCGGTTTGTTGGCTGCGTTCGATGCCAAGAAGTCACCGAGCGCGCGGTGAATTTGATACGCAGAGTTTCTTCATCCTGCACTGTGTGTGTGTGTGTGTGTTTAAACGTGTGTCAAAATATTGGAAGCTTATGATCATAATACATATATCCATGCAAACACGCACGCTGTGAATGCTGTGATGATGCACATTCGGATGTGCGGTAGCATTTCATCGCGTTTCTTTTCATTACTCATCCTGATCATTGAGTGCGAGTTTTGTTTTAACCTGAACTCGTTTCTCTCTCCCCACATCAGTTGAACGCTTTTTTTATGAACGCTAAATGCCTATCTCGTACTATTTCACAGCCCTCGTGTAAATAGAACATCGTCACAAAAGTAAACCCAAACAAACAAACACAACAACAAATCCGTATTGCTTCCACAAACGTCCACGCAGGAACTTTTTCAAAACTCATCTCAAAGTTTCACGAACGAACTGGGGGGGGGGGGGGGGGGGGGAGGCGTTCCGCTTTCTCTCCGCAGCAGCCTCGGCCAAATGGCCGCTCGGCGAGCCGGACAGGCGCCGAGTTGGGTTCCATGGCGCTCTCCTACCCCCCCTCCCCATCTGCTATCCTCATGCACCCCCCCCCCACCACCCTCTCTTACCCAGCCACTCCATCTCCCTCCAACTCCCCAACACTGTGTAACCCCCCCCCTTTTTTTGACAGCAGTCCAAACGCGAGTCTCACTCTGCCATGCCCCCCCCCCTCTCCAACCCCCCCCCCTCTCCACCCCCCCTCTCCAACTGCCCCCCCTCTCCAAACCCCCCCCCTCTCCAACCCCCCCCCCTCTCCAACTGCCCCCCCTCTCCAAACCCCCCCTCTCCACCCCCCCTTCTCCAACTCCCCCCCCTCTCCAACTCCCCCCCCCCTCTCCAACCCCCCCCCCCTCTCCAAAACCTCCTCGTACTCCCCAACGAGCGGTCCCGACCCTTCCAATGTCCCCGACTCCCTCCCTGTCCCCCCCACCCCACCCACCCACCCACCCCCGCTCTGACTAACATCCTCTCCATGCACACATCCACACAAACACCCCCCACCCCCTCACCCACCCACCCTGCCCGTGCTGTTCCTGGGCGGGGTCGCTCCTTGTGCTGCTGCTGCTGCGCGTATCTCGGAGCGAGCTGGTAACGGGGGTTTAGTCGGCAGCCCCTCTCACTGCACGGGGCAGAGCGGGCGTGAGTTGAGCAAAGGAGGCGGCAGAGACACAGACGGAGGAGGAGGAGGTGGTGCGGAGAGTACAAGAGAGGTTATTGTTGTTGTTATTCTTTTTAATCCATCGCGCATACTCGTATCGCGTATTCCAGCTGAGAATTCTGGCGCATTTAACAGTTTAACACGTAAAAACAGTGAATACTACTAAACTCAAAAAAAATTCGTAAAGTATATAACAAACAAATAAAATCAAACGCTGAAACATTAAAAGTAAAAATAAATATCAAGAGAAGAAGACGCCGTGCCAAGTCCTGGGAAGGAACGAGAAGACGTGTGTTGCGTGGCTTGCGGTAAGTACAAAAAAAAGTTACACAAACATTGTAAAGTAGGTACAATAATAAGGGTTATCATCTGGTATACGTTTAAGAGAATCCAGATGCATTATAAACAAACGCGCTGGATTTCGCGAGCTTCGCGTCTGCGGTCGTAAAGGTTTTCGTTGTCTCTGAATTAGTGAAAATTGGCTTTATAGTAAGAAAGTTTCACGTTTGTGTGGTGGTGGTGGAGGTGGTGGTGTTGTTGCTTTGTGAACTTATGTCCGTGCTACTTTAAAGTTGTTTTAAGAACGGATGGCAGCGGACCGTTGCTGCCATCTCTGCGAGTTTGTGTTTGAAATGTTTACAGCCGCTCTTCATAACGTGACGATCGCTGCGTTTCTTTCACGTTTACGCGCGTTTTGAACTTAATTGCAGAATTTCAGCTGCGTGGAGCTATAAAATGTAACTTTTTTTCTGTTAAACTTACTTTTGTAACTGTTGTACATGTTCTGTTGTTGCTTATTTTCAGAGGGCGCAAATTGCCATTTACGATGCACTTTACATAAACATTTTATCGAAATATAGTTGTCAAAAAATGTTCGTCATTGATCATTCTCAACAATTGGGGCAAAACGATTTCGCCACGAGAAACGAATTATTCTCCACGCTTGCTCCACACGTTTTGTCGGAAAGGCATAAAAGTCCGTGGCTCTTATGACGATTTAATCTTCTGTAATTGTAACACGACAATCGCGGTGTTACCGTTGACCGAGTGAAAGCAATTCCTGGGAAATATATTGTAGATGCCTGCTTTTGTTTGTCCCTTGGTATACTTGGCAATTACAAGACTTATTTGTGCGTGGTCTCAACGAGGCTCTCTTCGACACACTGACACACGTGTATTCGCTGCAGCAGGAAAGTAGTGCCTTCATTGACAGTTTTTGGCGCCGTAATCATTGCTACGTGACCAGTCGGTGGGGTGACAACACCCTTGCTTATGCAATTCCCTTCTCCCCTCGCCTCGTGTCAATCGCCCCCTTGCTTTTCTTGCACCACAACTCGGCCGGACGCCCAAGGTCTGACCGTATCCGTGGAGTAGGACTTGGAACGGGTGGGCAACACGGCTGATGTTACGCTTGGGTAGAGCCCCTTTTTTAGTCAGTGCCTCTCTCTCTCTCTCCACAGCCACCACAGCCCCCCACGACCGCCAGTGCCCTTGCCTCCACGCTTGTGCCCCCCCACCCACACACGGCCACTCCCAAACGGAGCCCGAATAACTTGGTCCTGACAAACTCGGACAAGTTGCGAGAGACACGGATGCCATTTTCGGGATGAGCTTGTTGCCTGATGGGGCTCGCAGCTGCCGTGAATACTCCGCGGGGCTGTTGCATTTTCTCTCCGTGAGACCGTGGCCAGGGCGTGACGGGGTGTGTGGGTGGGTTGAGCAATGATGTCGTCTTATCACCAACTAACCAAAACTTGTATTTTATTCTGTTGTTCAACGCAGCAAGTTCGTAAAGTCACGAACACGAGGGATGCACAATGTCTGAAGGACCGCCATACACGTGTTTGTCATTAGGCGCCCCAAATCATGGTTTAGGAAACGGAAGAGGAAAGAACTTAGGAGACTTTTAGTGGAAAGTTTGTCAATGCATCTTTGACCCATTTTAATATAACGAAAATCATGATTTTTACATTCCGTGTACGGTTTTTGTTTATCATGCTGCTCTTGCTGTTGAAATTTGCTTTGGGAAAATGTATTCAGCCCAAAGCGGTGCTGGGGCTATGGTCTGCAACTCAAATCTGGACGCTTGTGAGTTTAAATTCTTGGTCGGGTGGGTGGGTGGGGGAGTTAGATTGAACCATCATCCCTCGAGTGGCCGTAAAATGAATACCGCTCGTTTCTAGATGGAAAACTCATTTCGATAGAACTGCTTTTTGTGTTGAGTTTGTCGTCCTTCACGCGCACCTCCGATTACCGCGGTCGGCTACGTACGGTGCGACAGAAGTTCAACGTACATACGTGCATCCTGTGGAGATACTGGCTCCTGCCATAGGAATGGGGAATTCTCACCGCTGGCTCGGGGTCGCCACGTGGTTGAGCAGAGAAGCCCTTTAGTTCATTGACGCGTGTTTATGTTGAGTTAAAAAGAACTCCCAAACAAACACCAACCTTGTTGTGAAAGACCCAACGCAAAAGATCCCTCGGTTTAATCTTCGGCGAAGCTCATGGTCCACCTTAAACCGCATCCACTGCACAAACTATGCCAGCAGATGCAGGATACCCTGATGATGCACAGATGGAAAATTAAAAACTCTCCAGTAGTCGTGTGCGACTGTGGTTATCCAGAACGGAGACCGTAACAACGTGTAACGACACAACGCCCCGATCCACAAATAGGCAGGAGAATATCACAGCGATGATACACTCCGCTGCTCCAGACGCAGTTATTTGGCTTGACCGCCTGAATGTGATATTGTAGTTGCTGCTTTGCATCCACATCAGCCGTATGGAAAAAGAAAAAGGAGGTTGTGCCGAGTGTTGATCAGCGCGAATCCCAGACGTTTCACTTAATTACTTTTCTTGAGAGTTAGAATTTCGTCTTGAACCAGCATATATTCTCTAATCCTCTGCGTGCTCCTAGTTATGTCTCTGCATCGATCACTCGACCAAAGGGCATATATTACAAACATCTAAACCACCACCAGAGAGCCCATTTTACTAAAACTTTGCCGACTTAAAAAGAGTGGGGCCCTCCAAAAGAGAGAGAGAGAGAGGGACGAGGCAGTCGTAACGGATAGCTTGCCGCTGACCGGCATGCGGACCCTGCTCATTTTAACTCGCACCAGGCTCGGGAGAAACACGTGCACGTTGCTGGCACGGTCTGGGCCACTCGCTCCATTTATCTGCCAGCTTCCTCCATACATCTGCATTCCTGCCATTCCTGATTCCTGTCCCTAATTAGCTACAGTCAGGCGAGAGCTTCATGCAAGCCAGATCGCATTGTTCGGTGCCTCTGTGGCATTGCAGTATTTATCCGAGGGCCTTAAGTAAATCTTTGTTTTCGTCTTTGGAAAACATGTAAAATGAAATAAAACACTTTGGGAATGGGATATTTGAGACTCACACTGACTCTATTTAAAAATGTTGTAAACTTTAAATAGGTGGAACTTTTGATTGGTTTTCTTGAATTACGGCTAAAGATTGTGGCTGGCCTTTGTAACACTTCCACAACCTTGAGATGCAATTTGTATTCTTAGTAAACTGTTTAATTTTGGTATCCTCATCAGTAAGGGCAATTTACTGCTATGTGGAGGGTTCCCCAAGGCCCCCACCATCAAAGTCCACGACTTAATTGCACTTACAAATATCTTCTTATTATCGAAATATTATTTAGTATTACAATACATTTAACACAAATGCTTAATGATAACCTCAAACATCATATTGATTGGCTTTGTAGGCAATAAAATAGTTTAACAATTTTTTGCAAGCATGTTGTTAAATTTCATAAACAACTTTGTCTGTGGCCTGTAAATGTTGTGGGTTTACTCTCCAACACACCGGTCTGCTGAAGTAGTAACGATTTGGCACGTTTAGTTTACGTGACAAGCATTACTAATTGGCTGTCGGGTGGCGGCGGGTGTAACGGCACATTTATATTCACGTGATCTCACCTAAAAAAAACTCTGGATTTAATAAATCTTTAGTTTTGAGTCTGAAACAATTCTGTCTAGTCACGAAAGTGTGGTGGTTTTTAGTATTATAATATCTTTCACTGAAATTGCCGATGCATCTTTTTACTTATTTTTACTCATTACAAAAAAGCTTCATAGTTTTTGGAAACAAATACATATGACACGTACACAAAATCATTAAACAAATAGGATGCTAGGAAATTGGACAAAAAAATAATTGGGATGTTGTGGCACCGTTATTTCCATGGTATCTTCACTTTGCCACTCCTGAGAACGACAAGGGATAGTTGCTCCGTGTAAAGAAACGAGTCGCAGGGTCGGACAGCTGGAAGGAGTGTGAGGGTGGCTCCTGAGAGAGAGTGGGAAGAAGATGCAGGATGAGTTGTAGTGATGGAGTTTTACCGTCGGGCAGTTTGTCGAGAAGAGCTGAGGTTATGGGAAGAAGGCACGTGGTATCAATGCTGAAGCCTTTAAACAAGTGTGTGATTCTGGTTGGGAAACTTACAGAAAGGATGTCGGCTATTGAACGATCTTGACGTAACTTATATTGGTGTTTGCTTTCCTAAACATTAAACGCTTAAGCAATCGCTCAGTATTCTTGGTTCTTTTTTTGTGGATTTCACACCTGGTGATGATTGCTTGTGTTGCAGTCGAAACGTCGTGAGAATCTTTATTGTTTTATATTAATAATATTTAATTATTTCCCTTCTACGTGACTTTACCGAAAATACCAAGAATATGAATCCCTGCAGTCACGAAAGCTTTAAATCAAAATTCAGTCGCTCAGTGTTTGTGATCGGGTGATTAGTTAAGATTTACACGTATGGTGATAGGTTGAATAAGCTAATTATTACAGCTTGATGAAAGTTGGGCTGAAAGTTTGGCCTCGAGAATTGTGGCCATGGGCAGTTGTAGCTCCTGAGGTTGGACACTTGTGCGCTGAAGGGGAACTTTGCCAGGCTGACTTGTGTAGCGAGCACGAGCCAGGATAGCGCTCGTGCATGCTTGGGTGTCAGCAGGAAGTGAGAATGTTGAGATAGGAAAGGACTTTGTGCACTTAGATAGGAATGTGCATAAAGCCATTGGCTTGCGTGCAGGAGTATTAAAGAGCTGTATTTCACGGCAGAGCATATTTTTTTTATGGCCCCTATAAACCACTTTGGAATTGTAGATAAGTCAACGCTATTGCCAAGACGGATAGATCTTTTCCGCTGGAATTGAACAAATCAACGAGAGGGTTGGAGCCTCAGGTATTTCATTGCAAAGCTTACAGAGCATGCAAGGAATGCTATGGCAGAAGAGGGTAAACCAACTTGGAAGTTCGGAGCAGAATA